GGAATCCCCGTTAAAAACGTAATCCCGCATTTACAGGACAAAACAAATTACCGTTACAAATGTAATCCCGCATTTACAGGACATAAGTGATCTCCGTTACAAATGTAATTCCGCATTTACAGGACATACGGAATCTCCGTTACAAATGTAATCCCGCATTTACAGGGCATAAGGAATCCCCGTTACACATGTAATCCCGCAGTTACAGGACATAAGGAATCTCCGTTACAAATGTAATCCCGCATTTACAAGACATAAGGAATCCCCATTACAAATGTAATCCGTGTTGTTTCTAATCCGGATTACACAAGTATAACTCAAACGAGGTTCATGGGTTTGTGTGTTGTGAGTCTGTGAGTCTCTGTGTGGTGAGTCTATGGGTCTCTGTGTGGTGAGTCTGTGGGTCTCTGTGTGGTGAGTCTGTGGGTCTCTGTGTGGTGAGTCTGTGGGTCTCTGTGTGGTGAGTCTGTGGGTCTCTGTGTGGTGAGTCTGTGGGTCTCTGTGTGTTGAGTCTGTGGGTCTCTGTGTGGTGAGTCTATGGGTCTCTGCGTGATGAGTCTATGGGTCTCTTTGTGATGAGTCTATGGGTCTCTGTGTGGTGAGTCTATGGGTCTCTGTGTGGTGAGTCTGTGGGTCTCTGTGTGGTGAGTCTGTGGGTCTCTATGAGTGAGTCTATGGGTCTCTGTGTGGTGAGTGTGTGGGTCTCTGTGTGGTGAGTCTATGGGTCTCTGTGTGGCGAGTCTATGGATCTCTGTGTGATGAGTCTGTGGGTCTCTGTGTGGTGAGTCTATGGGTCTCTGTGTGGTGAGTCTATGGGTCTCTGTGTGATTAGTCTATGGGTCTCTGTGTGATGAGTTTATGGGTCTCTGTGTGGTGAGTCTATGGGTCTCTGTGTGATGAGTCTATGGGTCTCTGTGTGGGTCTATGGGTCTCTGTGTGGTGAGTCTATGGGTCTCTATGTGGCGAGTATATGGGTCTCTGTGTGATGAGTCTATGGGTCTCTGTGTGATGAGTTTATGGGTCTCTGAGTGGGTCTATGGGTCTCTGTGTGGTGAGTCTATGGGTCTCTGTGTGGAGGGTCTATGGGTCTCTGTGTGGTGAGTCTATGGGTCTCTGTGTGGAGAGTCTATGGGTCTCTGTGTGGAGAGTCTATGGGTCTCTGTGTGGTGAGTCTGTGGGTCTCTGTGTGGCGAGTGTATGGGTCTCTGTGTGATGAGTCTGTGGGTCTCTATGTGGTGAGTCTATGAGTCTCTATACATATCTATGAGTCTCTATGCATCTCTATGGGTCTCTATGCATCTCTATGGGTCTCTATGCATCTCTATGGGTCTCTATGCATCTCTATGGGTCTCTATGCATCTCTATGCATCTCTATGGGTCTCTATGCATCTCTATGGGTCTCTATGGGTCTCTATGCATCTCTATGGGTCTCTATGCATCTCTATGGGTCTCTATGCATCTCTATGGGTCTCTATGCATCTCTATGAGTCTCTATGCATTTCTATGGGTCTCTATGCATCTCTATGGGTCTCTATGCATCTCTATGAGTCTCTATGCATCTCTATGGGTCTCTATGTATCTCTACGAGTCTCTATGCATCTCTATGAGTCTCTATGCATCTCTACGAGTCTCTATGCATCTCTATGAGTCTCTATGCATCTCTATGAGTCTCTATGCATCTCTACGAGTCTCTATGCATCTCTATGCGTCTCTATGAGTCTCTATGCATCTCTATGAGTCTCTATGCATCTCTATGAGTCTCTATGCATCTCTACGAGTCTCTATGCATCTCTACGAGTCTCTATGCATCTCTATGCATCTCTTTGCATCTCTATGGGTCTCTATGCATCTCTATGGGTCTCTATGCATCTCTACGAGTCTCTATGCATCTCTATGGGTCTCTATGCATCTCTATGGGTCTCTATGTATCTCTACGAGTCTCTATGCATCTCTATGAGTCTCTATGCATCTCTACGAGTCTCTATGAATCTCTATGCATCTCTATGCATCTCTATGGGTCTCTATGCATCTCTATGGGTCTCTATGCATCTCTACGAGTCTCTATGCATCTCTATGGGTCTCTATGCATCTTTATGGGTCTCTATGTATCTCTACGAGTCTCTATGCATCTCTACGAGTCTCTATGTATCTCTATGGGTCTCTATGTATCTCTATGAGTCTCTATGCATCTCTATGAGTCTCTATGCATCTCTACGAGTCTCTATGCATCTCTATGCGTCTCTATGAGTCTCTATGCATCTCTATGAGTCTCTATGCATCTCTATGAGTCTCTATGCATCTCTACGAGTCTCTATGCATCTCTACGAGTCTCTATGCATCTCTATGCGTCTCTTTGCATCTCTATGGGTCTCTATGCATCTCTATGGATCTCTATGCATCTCTACGAGTCTCTATGCATCTCTATGCGTCTCTATGCATCTCTATGGGTCTCTATGCATCTCTATGGGTCTCTATGCATCTCTACGAGTCTCTATGCATCTCTACGAGTCTCTATGCATCTCTATGCGTCTCTTTGCATCTCTATGGGTCTCTATGCATCTCTATGGATCTCTATGCATCTCTACGAGTCTCTATGCATCTCTATGCGTCTCTATGCATCTCTATGGGTCTCTATGCATCTCTATGGGTCTCTATGCATCTCTACGAGTCTCTATGCATCTTTACGGGTCTCTATGCATCTCTATGGGTCTCTATGCATCTCTATGGGTCTCTATCCATCTCTACGAGTCTCTATGTATCTCTATGAGTCTCTATGCATCTCTATGGGTCTCTATGCATCTCTACGAGTCTCTATGCATCTCTATGGGTCTCTATGCATCTCTATGGGTCTCTATGCATCTCTATGGGTCTCTATGCATCTCTACGAGTCTCTATGCATCTCTATGGGTCTCTATGCATCTCTACGAGTCTCTATGCATCTCTACGAGTCTCTATGTATCTCTATGAGTCTCTATGCATCTCTATGGGTCTCTATGCATCTCTACGAGTCTCTATGCATCTCTATGGGTCTCTATGCATCTCTATGGGTCTCTATGCATCTCTATGGATCTCTATGCATCTCTACGAGTCTCTATGCATCTCTATGCGTCTCCATGCATCTCTATGGGTCTCTATGCATCTCTATGGGTCTCTATGCATCTCTACGAGTCTCTATGCATCTCTATGGGTCTCTATGCATCTCTATGGGTCTCTATGCATCTCTATGGGTCTCTATCCATCTCTACGAGTCTCTATGTATCTCTATGAGTCTCTATGCATCTCTATGGGTCTCTATGCATCTCTACGAGTCTCTATGCATCTCTATGGGTCTCTATGCATCTCTATGGGTCTCTATGCATCTCTATGGGTCTCTATGCATCTCTACGAGTCTCTATGCATCTCTATGGGTCTCTATGCATCTCTACGAGTCTCTATGCATCTCTATGGGTCTCTATGCATCTCTATGCATCTCTATGGGTCTCTATGCATCTCTATGGGTCTCTATGCATCTCTATGGGTCTCTTCCTCACTGCTGCTGCTACCGCTGCTGCTGCTGCTGCTGTCTGTATCGACACCGTACATACACAAAGTTCTCAGCGACGATCCTACTAGCGACGATCCTACTAGCGACGATCCTACTAGCGACGATCCTACTAGCGACGATCCTACTAGCGACGATCCTACAAGCGACGATCCTACTAGCGACGATCCTACCGGTGACGATCCTACCGGTGACGATCCTACCTGTGACGATCCTACTGACACCGATCCTACTAGCGACGATCCTACTAGCGACGATCCTACCTGTGACGATCCTACCTGTGACGATCCTACAAGCGACGATCCTACTAGCGACGATCCTACCGGTGACGATCCTACAAGCGACGATCCTACCGGTGACGATCCTACCTGTGACGATCCTACCGGCGACGATCCTACCGGCGACAATCCTACCGGTGACGATCCTACCGGTGACGATCCTACCCCCGACGATCCTACTGACACCGATCCTACTGGTGACGATCCTACTGACACCGATCCTACCGGTGATGATCCTACTGACACCGATCCTACCGGTGACGATCCTACTGACACCGATGCTACCGGCGATGATCCTACTGACACCGATCCTACCGACACCGATCCTACCGACACCGATCCCACCGGCGACGATCCTACCGGCGACCACATCACCGGAGCGGCGGCCCGTGGCTCGCCGTCCTCCAGGCCCACGTCAATGTCCCCCCGAGCCTGGGCCCACGCGGGAGGCCCCGCCGGCGGCTCGGCCGAGTCACCGGCCGCCCGGCGCCTCGGCATGCCGGCGATGATGACCCCCGGTGACCTCGGCATGCCGGCGACGATGACCCCCGGTGACCTCGGCATGCCAGCGATGATGACCCCCGGTGACCTCGGCATGCCGGCGATGATGACCCCCGGTGACCTCGGCATGCCGGCGATGATGACCCCCGGTGACCTCGGCATGCCAGCGATGATGACCCCCGGTGACCTCGGCGTCCCGGCGACGGTGACGACCCCCGGCGAGGCCACGAGGCGCAGCGTCCGCGTGGACAGCGGCAGCGCCGGTGAGCGAGCGGTGGGCGGAGTCCGGAGCGCCGGCAAGCACCGCGCACCGTGCCGCTGGTCGTCGCGGCGGCGGCAGCGGCGGCGCTGGTGATGGTTCTCAAATCGGCGGAGCGTCACCGCGCTCACCGCCTCCGCCGCCTCCGCCGCCTCCACCGCCTCCGCCTCCACCGCCTCCGCCGCCTCCACCGCCTCCGCCTCCACCGCCTCCACCGCCTCCACCGCCTCCGCCTCCACCGCCTCCACCGCCTCCTCCTCCTCCTCGTCCACTTGGCCCGCCGGGGTGCCCGGAGCTTCGCCGGCGGTGGCGGTGGTTACAGCGGCGGTGGTTACGGTGGGGGTGGAGCTGGTGGCGGTAGTACCGGCGGTGGTACCGGTGGTGGTGCCGGCGGTGGTACCGGCGGTGTTACCGGTGGAGGTTACGGCGGCGATGGTACCAGCGGTGGTGGTACTGGTGGTGGTACCAACGGTGGTTACGGTGGTACCAGCGGTGGTGGTACCAGCGGTCGTGGTACTGGTGGTGGTTATGGCGGTGGTGGTACCAGCGGTGGTGGTCCTGGTGGTGGTACCAGCGGTGGTGGTGGTACCAGCGGTGGTGGCGGTACCAGTGGTGGTACCAGCGGTGGTGATACCAGCGGTGGTGGTACCAGCGGTGGTGGTGGCGGTGGTGGTACCAGCGGTGGTGGTACTGGTGGTGGTACCAGCGGTGGTGATACTGGTGGTGGTACCAACGGTGGTTACGGTGGTACCAGCGGTGGTACCAGCGGCAGTGGTACCAGCGGCAGTGGTACCAGCGGCGATGGTACCAGCCGCGGTGGTGGTACCAGCGGTCGTGGTACTGGTGGTGGTACCAGCGGCGATGGTACCAGCGGTGGTGGTACCAGCGGTGGTGGTACTGGTGGTGGTACCAGCGGTGGTGGTACTGGTGGTGGTACCAGCGGTGGTGGTACTGGTGGTGGTACCAGCGGTGGTGGTGGTACCAGCGGTGGTGGTACTGGTGGTGGTACCAGCGGTGGTGGTGGTACCAGCGGTGGTGGTGGTACTGGTGGTGGTACCAGCGTCGGTGCTGTTGGCTGCCTCCCGGCGCAGGATCTCCAGCAGGAGGAGATTGTTCTGCTCCTTCCAGGCGCGGAACTTCTCCACGGAGAAGATAGCGGCCGTGGAGGCGGTGGAGGCCGTGGAGGCGGTGGAAGCGGTGGAGGCAGTGGAGGCGGTGGAGGCGGTGGAGGCCGTGGAGGCCGTGGAGGCCGTGGAGGCGGTGGAGGCCGTGGAGGCCGTGGAGGCGGTGGAGGCGGTGGAGGCGGTGGTGGTGGCTGCGTTGCCGCCACCACCCAGCAGCAGTGCGTCAATGGCCGCCATCTCTCCCTCGCGGTCCTGCCGGGGGAGGAGAGGGGGAGGGAGGGGGGAGGGGGAGAGGGGGAGGGGAGAGGGGGAGAGGGGGAGGGGGAGAGGGGGAGGGGAGGGGAGGGAGAGGGGGAGGGGGAGAGGGGGAGGGGAGGGGGAGGGGATGGAGACGGGGGGAGGGGGGAGAGAAATTGGGAGTGCCCGCAAGTTAAAACGTATTTGTGCGTGTGGCCCAGCAGGGCCAGGCAGAGTGGTGTGTGTGCGTGTGGCCCAGCAGGGCCAGGCAGAGTGGTGTGTGCGCGTGTGGTCCAGCAGGGCCAGGCAGAGTGGTGTGTGTGCGTGTGGCCCAGCAGGGCCAGGCAGAGTGGTGTGTGTGTGTGGCCCAGCAGGGCCAGGCAGAGTGGTGTGTGCGCGTGTGGCACAGCAGGGCCAGGCAGAGTGGTGTGGGTGTGGCCCAGCAGGGCCAGGCAGAGTGGTGTGTGCGTGTGTGGCCCAGCAGGGCCAGGCAGAGTGGTGTGGGTGTGGCCCAGCAGGGCCAGGCAGAGTGGTGTCTGCGTGTGTGGCCCAGCAGGGCCAGGCAGAGTGGTGTGTGCGCGTGTGGCCCAGCAGGGCCAGGCAGAGTGGTGTGTGTGTGTGGCCCAGCAGGGCCAGGCAGAGTGGTGTGCGTGTGGCCCAGCAGGGCCTGGCAGAGTGGTGTGTGTGCGTGTGTGGCCCAGCAGGGCCAGGCAGAGTGGTGTGTGTGTGTGTGTGGCCCAGCAGGGCCAGGCAGAGTGGTGTGTGTGTGTGGCCCAGCAGGGCCAGGCGACTCCGCCCACCTTGAGGGTGCTGTGCAGCGCCCTCAGGCGGTGGAGTCGCTCGTTGAGCCGCGGGTGGCGGCAGCGCTGCACGAAGGAGCGGCGGAAGTCGACGCGGGAGGTGGGCCGGGGGACTCCGAGCGGAGACAACGCAGCCCGGCTCAGCTCACGGTACAGATCCACAAAGCCGTCTGGTGGGCGGGGGCGGGGAGGGAGTGGTACAACACCCACGTCTCTGTGTGTGTGTGTGAGTGTGGTGTGAGTCTGTGTGTGTGTATGTGTGTGGTGTGTGTGTGTGTCTGTGTGTGTGTGTGGTGTGTGTGTCTGTGTGTGTGTCTGTGTGTGTGTGTCTGTGTGTGTGTGTGTATGTGTGTGTCTGTGTGTGTGTGTGTCTGTGTGTCTGTGTGTGTGTGTGTGTGTCTGTGGTGTGTGTGTGTGTCTGTGTGTGTGTGTGTCTCTGTGTGTGTGTCTGTGTGTGTGTGTCTGTGTGGTGTGTGTGTGTGTGAGTGTGTCTGTGTGTGTGGTGTGTGTGGTGTGTGTGTGTGTGTCTGTGTGTGTGTGTGTGTCTGTGTGTGTGTGTGTGTGTGTCTGTGTGTGTGTGTGTGTCTGTGTGTGTGTGTCTGTGTGGTGTGTGTGTGTGTGTGTCTGTGTGTGTGTCTGTGTGTGTGTCTGTGTGTCGTCTGTGTGTGTGTGTCTGTGTGTGTGTGTCGTGTGTGTGTGTATGTGTGTGTGTCGGCTGTGTGTGTGTGTGTATGTGTCGTCTGTGTGTGTGTGTCTGTGTGAGTGTCTGTGTGTCTGTGTGTGTGGCAACTCTGTCGTGGACAGTGCTGTGGGGGGAGATCCAATTTTGATTGGCTCCTCCCCTCATGGCATATGTGTCCACCACAGGGGCTAAACGGGGGCTCTGGACGGGTGCGAGGGGCTGGTAACCCCTCCACCTTCAATTAATTACCACGAAACCACGAGTTAAACTGAAATATGTAACAAATAAGCTTGTGCCGGAGGCCCCGGGGGGGCAGGCGTCTATGACGTCTCCTGGCCAAACCCCAATTGGCGGAGCCAGGAGATTGAATATCTACCCTCGGGGCTACTCCAGAAACAACGAAAAGCCACTACGGGTGGCCACGTGGAATGTTCGAACGCTCACTGCGGAGGAGAGGCTGCCACTCCTCTGTCGGGAGCTGGACCGGTACCGCCTGGATCTATGCGGCATTCAGGAGGTCCGGTGGACCGGCTCTGGCTCCTGCCACCACGAGGGGTGGACAGTCCTCTACTCGGGGCAGCAGACTGCCAAACAACAGGGAGTGGCTCTTCTTTTGAACAAAAGAATGAAGGGGGCGTGGGAGCGTGGCGGTGAGGTGTGGGAAGCTGTAAGCCCCAGGCTACTTTGGGCTCGCCTTCCCATCAACCGGAGGCAAGGAGTGGTGGTCGTGGTTACTTATGCCCCCACCGAAGACGAACATCCGTGGAGGGATGCAGGCAAAGCCGAAGAGTCACAGGTGCTGGCTAAAGTGGCCCCTCGGGATAGAGTAATCATGTTGGGTGACTTCAATGCCCGAGTTGGTCATGATACTGGCACCTGGCCTGGAGTAATTGGAGGGCATGGGCCAGATCAGCTCAATAACAACGGTAGGAGGCTGCTAGATTTTTGTGCAGCCCATGGGCTTGTAATTACCAACACGCTGTTCCGGCATCGGCGCATCCACACAACATCAAGGATGCATGCCGGGTCCAAGCAAGAACATCTGCTGGACTACATAGTGACGGACCAGCGGATGCGAGCCCATGTCCTTGACACCAGGACCTACCGTGGAGCTGATCTGCCCTCTGACCATCGACTAGTCATCTGTAAGATTCGCCTGCCATTATTCCACTCCGGTGGTGGGTGTACACCCAGGACCCCATTCCGACCTAAAGTGGCCTGGTCTCAGTTATCTGATGAAAGTTGCAAGCGAGAATTTCATCATCGCTTGCGGCTGGGATTGGCATCGTCCCAGACTCCTCCTGATGTCGAGGGTAAATGGGCGAGGTTTAGGACTGTGACTCATGCAGCTGCAATGGCTGCTTTGGGTACACGGTCCAGACCTCCCCAGAGACCCTGGCTGACAGAGGAGGTGTTCAGGATGGATGAGAAAAAGCGACAGGCCCACTGCCATCGGCTAAAGAATCCCACGTCAGAGAATGAGGAGGCTTACCGCAGCCTTCGATCGGAGGTTCGGAGAGCCGTGAGGCGCTGCAAGGATGGGTGGTGGTCGCGGGTTGCTGAGGAGATGGAGTCTGCCTCAGTGGCCCGTGATCACAAATCTCTATTTAACTCCATCAAAAAAGCAACCTGCAGCACCACACCTATTACCATCATTAGGGGAAAAAACGGTGATCCAATCTCCGACCCCCAGGAACAGGTTTGCAGGTTTGCTGAGCATTTCTGTGAGGTCCTGGGGGAGGGAAAATCCTTCAGCCAGGAAAACATCGTGGCACAAAGTGAGGATGACCCTGCTAAGGCTGCGGTGCCTCAAATATTGGAAGAAGTCACCCCCTGTGAGTGGCTGGCTGAGGTGCCATCTGTTGAGGAAGTACTGAAGGCGATCCGGAGTCTGAGACCAGGAAAGGCAGCGGGCAGAGATGATCTCCCAAGCGAAATGCTGAGGGAGGGTGGCGTTTGTGCACAGACTGCCCTATATGACATCATAACAACAGTCTGGACCACTGGACGGGTTCCACAGGATTGGAAGGATGCCCTGGTGGTTCCCCTTTTTAAGAAGGGGGACTGCACAAACTGTAACAACTACAGGGGCATCTCACTCCTCAGTGTGCCAGGAAAGGTCCTGGCAAGGATTATTCAGCATCGCCTTGCCAGGCACGCTGAGGAGAGGCTTGCGGAGCCCCAATGCGGTTTCAGGATAGGGCGGTCCTGCACAGATGCCATATTTTCTGTCCGTCTGCTACAGCAGAGGTGTAGGGAATTCCAACAAGACCTACATCTCTGCTTTATTGACCTGGTCAAGGCCTATGATACCATCAGTAGGCCTGGGCTCTGGGTCGTTCTTCGTGCTTTTGGAGTACCTGACCCTCTGCTCACGATCATTAAGGACCTTCATGATGGTGAGCGGGCCCGGGTAAAACTACGTGGCCGGGAGTCAGAGCAATTCCCTGTACACCTTGGGGTGCGACAGGGATGTCCTCTGGCTCCCACATTATTTAACATCTATTTTGACCACGTAGTTCGTGAAGCCTTCAATAGCTGTTCCGGGGGAATCTCCATATGGTACAGATATAATGGGAGGCTGATCGATGCCCGGGTGCGGTCAAGGGATGGATCCCTATTGCTCAACCACGCTATGTATGCTGATGATTTGGTAATAGCTGCTCAGTCAGAGGAGGAGTTGGAGACGCTGCTGCTGAGACTGGAGCGTGCCACTAAGAGGTGGGGCCTTACCATCAGCCCCACCAAAACTAAGCACCTGCCTGGGTATTTTGTACCATCGGACACTCCACCCCCACAACTCCCGATCGGTGATCGGGCAGTTGTGGAGAGAGTGGAGAGTTTCCCATACCTGGGCAGTGTGCTTATGACTGGCTCCAGTTTAACAGCAGAGGTCTCACTCCGAATCAGTCGAGCGGCAATATCTTTTCATCGGTTGCGTAACGCTGTGTGGAAGCTACCTGGTCTGTCGCTCCTCACTAAGCTTCAGGTCTTCTCGGCCACGGTCATTCCCTCCCTTCTCTACGCTTGCGAAACGTGGACCCCCCTAATGGAACATCTTCGCTGGTTAGAAACATTTAGGCTGGCCTGCCTACGATCCATCCTGGGTTTAACCAGACTGGATTGTGTGAGGAGCTCACAAATCCTTGAAAGATCTGGGCAGGGTCCCATCGGTGAGCTCCTCCGGCGGGCAAGGCTGCGATGGCTGGGTCATGTAGCCCGCATGCCCAGCCACCGCATGCCGAAACAGCTTTTGTTCGGCCGGATTGAGGGGGCAAAGCGGGCGCGGCACGGGCTAGAGAAGAGATGGAGTGATGTGGTACAGGAGGACGTGGAGCTGAGTGGACTTGCCGATGACCGGTACCAGCGGTGTCAAGATCGGCCTCTGTGGAGGAGGCTCGTGAAGGATGCTACTGGGCAGTTGGAGGTAGTCGCCCTCCAACAACAACGGAGGGCGGAGGAGCGACGCTCAGAACAACGAGCGGAGCGCCGGGTGGCTAAAGCACAGCAGGTTGGCACAGTAGGGGGCACAGGTGGTGCATCAGCCAGTCATCTCAGTCAGTCGACCCGTGGCACCTGGGTCTGCCCCGTGACCTCCTGCCAGCGGGCGTTCGACACTTCACGTGGCCTCAGGGTGCACATAGCCTGGCACAAGCGTCGTGGTGACGTCACCGCCACTTAGTGGCGAATGGCGGTTGTTGTTGTTGTTGTTGTGTGTCTGTGTGTGTGTCTGTCGTGTGTGTGTCTGTGTCTGTGTGTGTGTGTCTGTGTGTGTGTATGTGAGTGTGTGTGTCTGTGTGTGTGAGTGTGTGTGTGTCTGTGTGTGTGTCGTCTGTGTGTGTCTGTGTGTCTGTGTGTGTGTGTGTCTGTGTGTGTGTGTCTGTGTGTGTGTCTGTGTGTGTGTCTGTGTGTGTGTGTGTCTGTGTGTGTCTGTGTGTACATGGCAGTGTGGACGGCCCGCGAACGGCACTTGCCCCAGCGGGTTTGTCGGAGGCTACACGGGGGACCTTTGTCTTTGTGTGTTCATAGGTAGCTGCTGCTACTCGCTACTAACAGCACTTGCCCCTACAGTCTGCTAGAGGCTACATGGGGCACCTTTGCCTGTGTCTCCTTCACTGGCCCCTGCATCCCAGCTCGAGTCTACGTGGGGCACCTTTGTCCGCCTCCGCCGTTGTCCCGACGTTCCGTGGGGGGGTGCCTTCCGCAGGGGACGGAGGCAGCACCAGCGTCTCGGTGGAGGGGTAGAGCTGGCGTGAGTCAGCCTGGGACAGTCACACAGACACAGGTAAAGGTCACCCAGGTAGCCTCTAACAGAGCTGTAGGGGCAAGTGCAGTTACACAGACACAGGCAAAGGTCACCTAGGTAGCCTCTAGCAGACTGCAGGGGCAAGTGCAGTTACACAGACACAGGCAAAGTTCACCCAGGTAGCCTCTAACAGACTGTAGGGGCAAGTGCAGTTACACAGACACAGGCAAAGGTCACCCAGGTAGCCTCTAACAGACTGTAGGGGCAAGTGCAATTACACAGACGCAGGCAAAGGTCACCCAGGTAGCCTCTAGCAGGGCTGTAGGGGCAAGTGCAGTTACACAGACACATGCAAAGGTCACCCAGGTAGCCTCTAGCAGGGTTGTAGGGGCAAGTGCAGTTACACAGACACATGCAAAGGTCACCCAGGTAGCCTCTAACAGACTGTAGGGGCAAGTGCAGTTACACAGACACAGGCAAAGGTCACCCAGGTAGCCTCTAGCAGGGCTGTAGGGGCAAGTGCAGTCACACAGACACAGGCAAAGGTCACCCAGGTAGCCTCTAACAGACTGTAGGGGCAAGGGCAGTTACACAGACACAGGCAAAGGTCACCCAGGTAGCCTCTAGCAGGGCTGTAGGGGCAAGTGTAGTTACACAGACACAGGCAAAGGTCACCCAGGTAGCCTCTAGCAGGGTTGTAGGGGCAAGTGCAGTCACACAGACACAGGCAAAGGTCACCCAGGCAGCCTCTAGCAGGGTTGTAGGGGCAAGTGCAGTTACACAGACACAGGTAAAGGTCACCCAGGCAGGCTCTAGCAGAGCTGCAGAGGCAAGTGCAGTTACACAGACACAGGCAAAGGTCACCTAGGTAGCCTCTAACAGACTGTAGGGGCAAGTGCAGTTACACAGACACAGGTAAAGGTCACCCAGGCAGCCTCTAGCAGAGCTGCAGAGGCAAGTGCAGTTACACAGACACAGGCAAAGGTCACCCAGGTAGCCTCTAACAGACTGTAGGGGCAAGTGCAGTTACACAGACACAGGTAAAGGTCACCCAGGTAGCCTCTAATAGACTGTAGGGGCAAGTGCAGTTACACAGACACAGGTAAAGGTCAACTAGGTAGCCTCTAACAGAGCTGTAGGGGCATGTGCAGTTACACAGACACAGGCAAAGGTCACCTAGGTAGCCTCTTACAGACTGTAGGGGCAAGTGCTGTTAACGAGTATCCACCTATGAAGGCTACCGGCACTGTGGCACACACGAGTGGTGGGTGGCCAGCACCACCACGCCCGGCCGCCTTTGTCTCTCTCCAAGCCGCAATGTTTACTGCTGTGGGTTTGTAGTGCAGCGTAGCGCTATCCACTGCACTCACACACACACACACTCACCCACTCACTCACCCACACACTCACCCACTCACTCACCCACACACTCACCCACTCACTCACTCACCCACTAACTCACCCAATCACTCACCTACTCACTCACCCACTCACTCACCCACTCACTCACCAACACACTCACCCACACACTCACCCACTCACTCACCCACTCACTCACTCACCCACTCACTCACTCATCCACTAACTCACCCAATCACTCACTCACCCACTAACTCACCCAATCACTCACCCACTCACTCACTCACTCACCCAATCACTCACCCACACACTCACCCACGCACTCACCACACACTCACCTACTCACTCACTCACCCACTAACTCACCCATCACTCACCCACTCACTCACCCACTCACTCACCCACTCACTCACCAATACACTCACCCACACACTCACCCACTCACTCACCCACTCACTCACTCACCCACTCACTCACCCACTCACTCACTCACCCACCCACTAACTCACCCACATACTCACCCACTCACTCACTCACCCACACACTCACCCACTCACTCACCCCCTCACTCACCCACACACCCACCCACTCACTCACCCACACACTCACCCACTCACTCACTCACCCACTCACTCACCCACTCACTCACCCACTCACTCACTCACTCACCCACACACTCACCCACACACACTCCCACCCACTCACTCACCCACACACTCACTCACCCACACACTCATCCACTCACTCACCCACTCACCCACTCACTCACCCACCCACTAACTCACCCACATACTCACCCACTCACTCACTCACCCACACACTCACCCACTCACTCACCCACTCACTCACCCACACACTCACCCACTCACTCACTCACTCACCAACTCACTCACCCACTCACTCACCCACTCACTCACCCACACACTCACCCACACACACTCCCACACACACTCCCACCCACTCACTCACCCACTCACTCACTCACCCACACACACACTCACCCACTGACTCACCCACACACCCACCCACTCACTCACCCACACACCCACCCACTCACTCACCCACTCACTCACCCACCCACACGCTCACCCACTCACTCACCCACACACACACCCACTCACTCACCCACACACTCACTCACCCACTCACTCACCCACTCACTCACCCACACACTCACCTACTCACTCACCCACACACTCACCCACTCACCCACTCACTCACCCACACACTCACCCACACACACTCCCACCCACTCACTCACCCATACACTCACCCACTCATTCACCCACACACACACCCACTCACTCACCCACACACTCACCCACTCACTCACTCACACACACCCACTCACTCACCCACACACACACTCCTCACTCACCCACTCACTCACTCACTCAACCACTCACTCAACCACACACTCACCCACTCACTCACCCACTCACTCACCCACACACTCACGCACTCACCCACTCACTCACCCACTCACTCACCCACACACACCCCCACTGACTCACCCACACACACACCCACACACTCACCCACACACTCACCAACACACTCACCCACACACACGCCCACACACACCCACACACACACACCCACTCACTCACCCACACACTCACCCACTCACTCACCCACACACACACCCACACACTCACCCACACACCCATTCACTCACCCACACACTCACCCACTCACTCACTCACTCACCCACACACTCACCCACACACTCACCCACACATTCACCCACACACACACCCACTCACTCACCCACACACTCACCCACACACTCACCCACTCACTCACCCACACACACACCCACTCACTCACCCACACATACTCCCACCCACTCACTCACCCACACACTCACCCACTCACTCGCCCACACACACACCCACTCACTCACCCACACACTCACCCACTCACTCACCCACACACACACCCACACACTCAATCACTCACTCACCCACACACTCACCCACTCACTCACCCACAAATTAACCCACTCACTCACCCACACACACAGCCACTCACTCACCCACTCACTCACCCACACACACACCCACTCACTCACCCACACACACACTCACCCACTCACTCACCCACACACTCACCCACACACTCACCCACAGACTCACCCACTCACTCACCCACACACTCACCCACTCACTCACCCACACACCCACTCACTCACCCACACACTCACTCACTAACTCACCCAATCACTCACTCACCCACTAACTCACCCAATCACTCACCCACTCACTCACCCAATCACTCACCCACACACTCACCCACACACTCACCCACACACCCACTCACTCACCCACTCACGCACTCACCCACACACCCACTCACTCACCCACTCACTCACCCACACACTCACCCACACACTCACCCACACACCCACTCACTCACCCACTCACTCACCCACACACTCACCGATGGAGCCCTGGTGATGGTGATGTCTTGAGATCCAGTGGATGAGGAGTCACCACCATCATCACTCTCGCTATAGAAATCTGGAAACCACCAGCATCATCATCAGCATCATCATCAGCATCAACAGCAACATCATCAGCAGCAATATTTGTGTGCGTGTGTGTGTGCGTGTGTGTGTGCGTGTGTGTGTGCGTGCATTTTCTGTCCGTCTGTTACAGCAGAGGTGTAGGAAATTCCAACAAGACCTACATCTCTGCTTTATTGACCTGGTCAAGGCCTATGATACCATCAGTAGGCCTGGGCTCTGGGTCGTTCTTCGTGCTTTTGGAGTACCTGACCCTCTGCTCACGATCATTAAGGACCTTCATGATGGTGAGCGGGCCCGGGTAAAACTACGTGGCCGGGAGTCAGAGCCATTCCCTGTTCACCTTGGGGTGCGACAGGGATGTCCTCTGGCTCCCACATTATTTAACATCTATTTCGACCACGTAGTTCGTGAAGCCATCAATAGCTGTACCAGCGATAGTGTAGCGGTTAGCGCTACGCTGCGCTATGAACCTGGCGACCCGGGTTCGATTCCCGCTCACGGCCAACACCAGTGACGATTATCTGAACCGGTCCCGGGCCTCCCCTAGGTCGACTCAGCCTCAGATGAGTACCTGGTGCGGTGTGTAGTAAACATCGCCACTGGGGAGACAAAGGCGGTCGGGCGTGGTGCTGGCCACCCACCCCCTCGTGTGCCGTGCCGGCCTTCATAGGTGCTCGCTAACAGCACTTGCCCCTACAGTATGTTAAGGCTACACGGGGGATCTTTGTGTGCGTGTGTGCTTGTGTGTGTGTGACTGTGTGTGCGTGTGTGTGTGTGTGACTGTGTGTGCGTGTGTGCGTGTGTGCATGTGTTCGTTGAGGAGATGGAGAGTTGGAGTCGGCAGAGGGCAGAGATGATCTCCCAGGCCAAAATGCTGAGGGAGGGTGGCGTTTGTGCACAGACTGCCCTACATGACATCATAACAACAGTCTGGACCACTGGACGGGTTCCACAGGATTGGAAGGATGCCCTGGTGGGGTCCCCCTCTTGAAGAAGGGGGACCGCACAGACTGTAACAAGGGGCATCTCACTCCTCAGTGTGCCGGGAAAGGTCCTGGCAAGGATTATTCAACATCGCCTTGCCAGGCACGCTGAGGAGAGGCTTGCGGAGCCCCAATGCGGTTTCAGGAAAGGGCGGTCCTGCACAGATGCCATATTTTCTGTCCGTGTTCTACAGCAGAGGTGTAGGGAATTCCAGCAAGACCTACATCTCTGCTTTATTGACCTGGTCAAGGCCTATGATACCATCAGTAGGCCTGGGCTCTGGGTTGTTCTTCATGCTTTCGGAGTCCCTGACCCTCTGCTCACGATCATTAAGGACCTTCATGATGGTGAGCGGACCCGGGTTAAACTACGTGGCCGGGAGTCAGAGCCATTCCCTGTTCACCTTGGTGTGCGACAGGGATGTCCTCTGGCTCCCACATTATTTAACATCTATTTTGACCACGTAGTTATTGAAGCCTTCAGTAGCTGTACCGGAGAAATTTCCATTTGGTACAGATATAATGGGAGGCTGATGGATGCCCGGGTGCAGTCAAGGGATGGCTCCCTATTGCTCAACCATGTTATGTATGCCGATGATTTGGTAATAGCTGCTCATTCAGAGGAGGAGTTGGAGACGCTGCTGCTGAGACTGGAGCGTGCCACTAAGAGGTGGGACCTTACCATCAGCCCCACCAAAACTAAGCACCTGCCTGGGTATTTTGTACCATCGGACACTCCAGCCCTACAAATCCCAATTGGTGATGGGGCAGTTGTGGAGAGAGTGGAGAGTTTCCCATATCTGGGCAGTGTGCTAATGACCAGCTCCAGTTTGACAGCAGAGGTCTCACTCCGAATCAGTCGAGCGGCAATATCTTTAATCGATTGCGTAACGCTGTGTGGAAGCTACCTGGTCTGTCGCTCCGCACGAAGCTTCAGGTCTTCTCGGCCACGGTCATTCCCTCCATTCTCTACGCTTGCGAAATGTGGACCCCCCTAATGGAACATCTTCACTGGTTAGAAACATTTAGGTTGGCCTGCCTACGATCCATCCTGGGTTTAACCAGACTGGATTGTGTGAGCAGCTCACAAATCCTTGAAAGATCTGGACAAAGTCCCATCGGTGAGCTCCTCTGGCAGGCAAGGCTGCGATGGCTGGGTCATGTAGCCCGCATGCCCAGCCACCGCATGCCTAAACAGCTTTTGTTCGTCCGGATCAAGTGGGCTAAACGGGCGCGGCACGGGCTAGAGAAGAGATGGAGTGATGTGGTACAGGAGGACGCGGAGCTGAGTGGACTTGCTGATGACTGGGCAGTTGAAGGCAGTCGCCCTCCAACAACAACGGAGGGCGGAGGAGCGACGCTCACAACAACGAGCGGAGCGCCGGGTGGCTAAAGCACAGCAAGTTGGCACAGTAGGGGGCACAGGTGGTGCATCAGCCAGTCATCTCAGTCAGTCGACCCGTGGCACCTGGGTCTGCCCCGTGACCTCCTGCCAGCGGGCGTTCGACACTTCACGTGGCCTCAAGGTGCACATAGCCTGGCACAAGCGTCGTGGTGACGTCACCGCCACTTAGTGGCGAATGGTGGTTCTTGTTGTTGTGAGTGTGTGAGTGTCGTGAGTGAGTCTGAGTGAGTGTGAGTGAGTGTGAGTGTCTGAGTGAGTGAGTGTGAGTGAGTGAGTCTGAGTGAGTGTGAGTGAGTGTGAGTGTCTGAGTGAGTGAGTGAGTGTGAGTGAGTCTGAGTGTGTGAGTGTGAGTGAGTGTGAGTGAGTCTGAGTGAGTGTGAGTGAGTGTGAGTGTTTGAGTGTGTGAGTGAGTGTGAGTGAGTGAGTCTGAGTGAGTGTGAGTGAGTGTGAGTGTCTGAGTGAGTGTGAGTGAGTCTGAGTTTCTGAGTGAGTGAGTGTGAGTGAGTCTGAGTGAGTGTGAGTGTCTGAGTGAGTGTGAGTGAGTGTGAGTGAGTGTCTGAGTGAGTGTGAGTGAGTGTGAGTGAGTGTGAGTGAGTGAGTGTGAGTGAGTCTGAGTGAGTGAGTGAGTGTGAGTGTCTGAGTGAGTGTGAGTGAGTGAGTGTGAGTGAGTGTGAGTGAGTGTGAGTGAGTGAGTGAGTGTGAGTGAGTGTGAGTGAGTGTGAGTGAGTGTGAGTGTCTGAGTGAGTCTGAGTGAGTCTGAGTGAGTGTCTGAGTGAGTGTGCGTGTCTGAGTGTGTGAGTGTGAGTGAGTGTGAGTGAGTCTGAGTGAGTGAGTGTGAGTGTCTGAGTGAGTCTGAGTGAGTCTGAGTGAGTGAGTGTGAGTGAGTGTGAGTGAGTGTGAGTGAGTGTGAGTGAGTGTGAGTGAGTGTGAGTGTGAGTGTCTGAGTGAGTGAGTGTGAGTGAGTGAGTGTGAGTGAGTGTGAGTGAGTGTGAGTGTCTGAGTGTGAGTGAGTGAGTGTGAGTGAGTGTGAGTGAGTGTGAGTGTCTGAGTGAGTGTGAGTGAGTGTGAGTGAGTGTGAGTGAGTGTGAGTGTCTGAGTGAGTGTGAGTGAGTGTGAGTGTGAGTGTCTGAGTGAGTGAGTGTGAGTGTGAGTGAGTGAGTCTGAGTGAGTATGAGTGAGTGTCTGAGTGAGTGAGTGTGAGTGAGTGTGAGTGAGTGTGAGTGTCTGAGTGAGTGTGAGTGTCTGAGTGAGTGAGTGTGAGTGAGTGAGTGTGAGTGAGTGTGAGTGAGTGTGAGTGAGTGAGTGTGAGTGAGTGTGAGTGAGTGTGAGTGTCTGAGTGAGTGAGTGTGAGTGAGTGTGAGTGAGTGAGTCTGAGTGAGTGAGTGTCTTAGTGAGTGAGTGTGAGTGAGTCTGAGTGAGTGTGAGTGTCTGAGTGAGTGTGAGTGAGTGAGTGTGAGTGAGTGAGTGAGTGTGAGTGTTTGAGTGAGTGAGTGTGAGTGTCTGAGTGAGTCTGAGTGAGTCTGAGTGAGTGAGTCTGAGTGAGTGAGTGAGTGTGAGTGAGTCTGAGTGAGTCTGAGTGAGTGAGTGAGTCTGAGTGAGTGAGTGAGTGTGAGTGTTTGAGTGAGTGAGTGTGAGTGAGTGTGAGTGAGTGAGTGTGAGTGTCTGAGTGAGTCTGAGTGAGTGTGAGTGAGTCTGAGTGAGTGTGAGTGTCTTAGTGAGTGAGTGTGAGTGAGTGTGAGTGAGTGAGTGTGAGTGAGTGAGTCTGAGTGAGTGTGAGTGAGTGTGAGTGTCTGAGTGAGTCTGAGTGAGTGAGTGAGTCTTAGTGAGTGTGAGTGAGTGAGTGAGTCTGAGTGAGTGAGTGTGTGAGTGTGAGTGAGTGAGTCTGAGTGAGTGTGAGTTAGTGTGAGTGTCTGAGTGGGTCTGAGTGAGTGTGAGTGAGTGTGAGTGAGTGAGTGTGAGTGAGTGAGTCTGAGTGAGTGTGAGTGTCTGAGTGAGTGAGTGTGAGTGAGTGTGAGTGAGTCTGGGTGAGTCTGAGTGAGTCTGAGTGAGTCTGAGTGAGTGTGAGTGAGTGTGAGTGAGTGTCTGAGTGAGTCTGAGTGAGTGTCTGAGTGAGTGAGTCTGAGTGAGTGAGTCTGAGTGAGTGTGAGTGGGTGTGAGTGTCTGAGTGAGTGAGTGTGAGTGAGTGAGTGTGAGTGAGCGAGTTACCTTCAGGATCCAGATTGTCATCACTGTAGCCAATAGCAGCCAGACCTAGTAGGTTCATCCACCTTGCACACAGACACAGACAAAGATCCCCCGTGTAGCCTCTTACAGACTGTAGGGGCAAGTGCTGTTAGTAGCGAGTAGCAGCAGCAGCGCCTATGAACACACAAAGACAAAGATCCCCCGTGTAGCCTCTTACACACTGTAGGGGCAAGTGCTGTTAGTAGCGAGTAGCAGCAGCTACCTATGAACACACAAAGACAAAGATCCCCCGTGTAGCCTCTAGCAGAGCTGCAGGGGCAAGTGCAGTCACACAGACACAGGCAAAGGTCACCTAGGCAGCCTCTTACAGACTGTAGGGGCAAGTGCTGTTAACGAGTATCCACCTATGAAGGCTCCCGGCACTGTGGCACACGAGGGGGTGGGTGGCCAGCACCACCACGCTCGGCCGCCTTTGTCTCCCCGGCTCTGATGTCTACTGCACAACGCACTGGGTACTCGTTTAAGGCTGAGTCGACCTAGGGAATGCCCAGACATCGGTTCAGATCATCGTTGGTTCGGCTCGTGGCCGTGAGCGGGAATCGAACCTGGGTGTTCTGCCGTGTTAGTAGCGCTAACAACTACACCACCACTCCCACACACTCACACACTCACTTATACACTCACACACACACTCACTCACACACTCACCTACTCACCACTCACTCACCCACTCATACACTCACACACTCACTTATACACCCATTCACTCACTCACTCACCCAGTCACTCACCCACTCACTCACTCACCTACTCACCCACTCACTCACTCACTCACCTACTCACCCACTCACTCACTCACCTACTCGCCCACTCACTCACTCACTTATACACTCACTCACTCATTCACCCACACACTCAGTCACCCACACACTCACCCACTCACTCACCCATTCACTCACTCACCTACTCACTTATACACTCACCCACACACCCACTCACTCACTCACACACTCATACACTCACTCACTCACTGACCCACACACACACTCACTCACCTACTCACCCACTCACTCACTCACACACTCACCCACTCACTCACCGACTCACTCACTCACACACTCACCCACTCACTCATACACTCACTCACTCACTCACCCACTCACCTACTCACCCACTCACTCACTCACCCACTCACTCACCTACTCACTCACCCACTCACTCACTCACTCACCCACAGTCACCCACACACACACTCACTCACCCACACACACACTCACTTACCTACTCACTCACCTACTCACTCACTCACTCACCCACTCACCCACTCACTCACTCATACACCCACTCACCCACTCACTCACCTACTCACTCACTCACTCACCCACTCACTCACTCCCTCACTTATACACCCACTCACTCACTCACCCACTCGCTCACTCACTAACTCACCTACTCACTCACCCATTCACTCACTCACTCACACACTCACTCACTCACTCACCTACTCACTCACTCACTTATACACTCACTCACTCACCTACTCACTCACCCACTCACTCACTCACTTATTCACCCACTCACTCACCCATTCACTCACTCACTCACTCACTTATACACTCACTCACCCATTCACTCACTCACTCACTCACTTATACACTCACTCACTCACCTACTCACTCACTCACTCACCCACTCACTCACCCATTCACTCACTCACTCACTTATATACTCACTCACTCACCCATTCACTCACTCACCCACACATACACTCACTCACCCACTCACTCACTCACTTATACACCTACTCACTCACCCACTCACTCACCCACTCACTCACCCACTAACTCACCCACACACACACCCACTCACTCACCCACTCACTCACCCACTCACTCACACACTCACTCATACACTCACTCACTCACCCACTCACTCACTCACCCATCCACCCACTCACTCACCCACTCACCCATTCAATCACGCACCCACTCACTCACTCATACAACCACTCACTCACCTACTCACTTACCTCCTCACCCACTTACTCACCCATCCACCCACTCACTCACTCACACACTCACCTACTCACCACTCACTCACCCACTCATACACTCACACACTCACTTATACACCCATTCACTCACTCACTCACCCAGTCACTCACCCACTCACTCACTCACCTACTCACCCACTCACTCACTCACCTACTCACCCACTCACTCACTCACCTACTCGCCCACTCACTCACTCACTTATACACTCACTCACTCATTCACCCACACACTCAGTCACCCACACACTCACCCACTCACTCACCCATTCACTCACTCACCTACTCACTTATACACTCACCCACACACCCACTCACTCACTCACACACTCATACACTCACTCACTCACTGACCCACACACACACTCACTCACCTACTCACCCACTCACTCACTCACACACTCACCCACTCACTCACCGACTCACTCACTCACACACTCACCCACTCACTCATACACTCACTCACTCACTCACCCACTCACCTACTCACCCACTCACTCACTCACCCACTCACTCACCTACTCACTCACCCACTCACTCACTCACTCACCCACAGTCACCCACACACACACTCACTCACCCACACACACACTCACTCACCCACACACACACTCACTTACCTACTCACTCACCTACTCACTCACTCACTCACCCACTCACCCACTCACCCACTCACTCACTCATACACCCACTCACCCACTCACTCACCTACTCACTCACTCACTCACCCACTCACTCACTCCCTCACTTATACACCCACTCACTCACTCACTCACCCACTCGCTCACTCACTAACTCACCTACTCACTCACCCATTCACTCACTCACTCACACACTCACTCACTCACTCACCTACTCACTCACTCACTTATACACTCACTCACTCACCTACTCACTCACCCACTCACTCACTCACTTATTCACCCACTCACTCACCCATTCACTCACTCACTCACTCACTTATACACTCACTCACCCATTCACTCACTCACTCACTCACTTATACACTCACTCACTCACCTACTCACTCACTCACTCACCCACTCACTCACCCATTCACTCACTCACTCACTTATATACTCACTCACTCACCCATTCACTCACTCACCCACACATACACTCACTCACCCACTCACTCACTCACTTATACACCTACTCACTCACCCACTCACTCACCCACTCACTCACCCACTAACTCACCCACACACACACCCACTCACTCACCCACTCACTCACCCACTCACTCACACACTCACTCATACACTCACTCACTCACCCACTCACTCACTCACCCATCCACCCACTCACTCACCCACTCACCCATTCAATCACGCACCCACTCACTCACTCATACAACCACTCACTCACCTACTCACTTACCTCCTCACCCACTTACTCACCCATCCACCCACTCACTCACTCACACACTCACCTACTCACCACTCACTCACCCACTCATACACTCACACACTCACTTATACACCCATTCACTCACTCACTCACCCACTCACTCACTCACCTACTCACCCACTCACTCACTCACCTACTCACCCACTCACTCACTCACCTACTCGCCCACTCACTCACTCACTTATACACTCACTCACTCATTCACCCACACACTCAGTCACCCACACACTCACCCACTCACTCACCCATTCACTCACTCACCTACTCACTTATACACTCACCCACACACCCACTCATTCACTCACACACTCATACACTCACTCACTCACTGACCCACACACACACTCACTCACCTACTCACCCACTCACTCACTCACACACTCACCCACTCACTCACCGACTCACTCACTCACCTACTCACCCACTCACTCACTCACCCACTTACTCACCTACTCACCTACTCACTCACCCACTCACTCACTCACCCACAGTCACCCACACACACACTCACTCACCCACACACACACTCACTTACCTACTCACTCACCTACTCACTCACTCACCCACTCACCCACTCACTCACTCATACACCCACTCACCCACTCACTCACCTACTCACTCACTCACCCACTCACTCACTCCCTCACTTATACACCCACTCACTCACTCACCCACTCGCTCACTCACTAACTCACCTACTCACTCACCCATTCACTCACTCACTCACACACTCACTCACTCACTCACCTACTCACTCACTCACTTATACACTCACTCACTCACCTACTCACTCACCCACTCACTCACTCACTTATTCACCCACTCACTCACCCATTCACTCACTCACTCAGTTATACACTCACTCACCCATTCACTCACTCACTCACTTATACACTCACTCACTCACCTACTCACTCACTCACTCACCCACTCACTCACCCATTCACTCACTCACTCACTCACTTATATACTCACTCACTCACCCATTCACTCACTCACCCACACATACACTCACTCACCCACTCACTCACTCACTTATACACCTACTCACTCACCCACTCACTCACCCACTCACTCACCCACTAACTCACCCACACACACACCCACTCACTCACCCACTCACTCACCCACTCACTCACACACTCACTCATACACTCACTCACTCACACACTTACTCACACACTCACTCACTCACCCACTCACTCACTCACTCATTCACTCCCTCACCCACCCACTCACTCACTCATCCACCAACTCACTCACTTATACACCCACTCACTTACCTACTCACTTACCTCCTCACCCACCCACTCACTCACCCACTCACTCACTCACCCACCCACCCACTCACTCACTCACCCACCCACCCACCCACTCACTCACCCACTCACCCATTCACTTCCTCACCCACTCACTCACTCATACACCCACTCACTCACTTATACACCCACTCACTCACCTACTCACTTACCTCCTCTCCCACCCACTCACTCACCCACTCACTCACCCACCCACCCACCCACTCACTCACCCACTCACCCATTCACTTCCTCACCCACTCACTCACTCATACACCCACTCACTCACTCACCTATTCACTTACCTCCTCACCCACCCACTCACTCACCCACTCACCCACCCACCCACTTACTCACCCACCCACTCACTCACTCACCCATTCACTTCCTCACCCACTCACTCACTCATACACCCACTCACTCACTCACCTATTCACTTACCTCCTCACCCACCCACTCACTCACCCACTCACTCACTCACCCACCCACCCACTTACTCACCCACCCACTCACTCACTCACCCACTCACCCATTCACTTCCTCACCCACTCACTCACCCATACACCCACTCACGCACTCACCTATTCACTTACCTCCTCACCCACCCACTCACTCACCCACTCACTCACTCACCCATCCACCCACTCACTCACCCACTCACCCATTCAATCACGCACCCACTCACTCACTCATACAACCACTCACTCACCTACTCACTTACCTCCTCACCCACCCACTCACTCACCCACTCACTCACCCATCCACCCACTCACTCACTCACCCACCCATTCACCCATTCACTAACTCACCCACCCACTCACTCACTCATACACCCACTCACTCACCCACCCACTCACTCACCCACCCATTCACTCACTCACCTTCTCACCCACCACCCCCAAACTCACTCACATCCTCACCCACCCACCCACCCACCAACTCACTCACCCACCCACTCTCCCACTCACTCATGATGCCACTGCTGATGATGCTACTGCCACTGATGATGATGCTACTGATGATGATGCTACTGCTGATGATGGTGATGCTGCTGCTACTGATGATGATGCTACTGCTGATGATGATGATGCTACTGCGGATGATGATGCTACTGATGATGATGCTACTGCTGATGATGGTGATGCTGCTGCTACTGATGATGATGCTACTGCTGATGATGATGATGCTACTGATGATGATGATGCTACTGATAATGATGATGCTACTGCGGATGATGCTACTGATGATGATGGTGCTACTGCTGATGATGGTGATGATGACCCCACCTGGTCATGTCTTCGAAAGTCTCAGCAGCGAAGTGGAACGTGGGCTTGTGATCGTGAAACACCCGGAACGTGCTGCACACACACACAGACACAGACACACACAGACAGACACACACACAGACACACACACACACACACAGACACACACACACAGATACATACACACACAGACACAGACACACACAGACACACACACACACAGACACACACACACACAGACACACACACAGACACAGACACACACACACACAGACACACACACAGACACCCACACACACAGACAGACACACACACAGACACACACACACACACACAGACACACACACACACAGATTCATACACACACAGACACTCACCCACACATCAACAACCGCCATTCGCCACTAAGTGGCGGTGACGTCACCACGACGCTTGTGCCAGGCTAGGTGCACCCTGAGGCCACGTGAAGTGTCGAACGCCCGCTGGCAGGAGGTCACGGGGCAGACCCAGGTGCCACGGGTCGACTGACTGAGATGACTGAGATGACTGTGGCTGATGCACCACCTGTGCCCCCTACTGTGCTAACCTGCTGTGCTTTAGCCACCCGGCGCTCCGCTCGTTCTTGTGAGCGTCGCTCCTGCGCCCTCCGTTGTTGTTGGAGGGCGACTGCCTCCAACTGCCCAGTAGCGTCCTTCACGAGCCTCCTCCACAGAGGCCGATCTTGACACCGCTGGTACCGGCCATCGGCAAGTCCACTCAGCTCCACGTCCTCCTGTACCACATCACTCCATCTCTTCTCTAGCCCGTGCCGCGCCCGCTTAGCCCCCTCGATCCGGCCGAACAAAAGCTGTTTCGGCATGCGGTGGCTGGGCATGCGGGCTACATGACCCAGCCAACGCAGCCTTGCCTGCCGGAGGAGCTCACCGATGGGACCCTGCCCAGATCTTTCAAGGATTTGTGAGCTCCTCACACAATCCAGCCTGCAGGTTAAACCCAGGATGGATCGTAGGCAGGCCAGCCTAAATGTTTCTAACCGGCGAAGATGTTCCATTCAGGTCTTCTCGGCCACGGTCATTCCCTCCCTTCTCTACGCTTGCGAAACGTGGACCCCCCTAATGGAACATCTTTCACCGGTTAGAAACATTTAGGCTGGCCTACCTACGATCCATCCTGGGTTTTACCAGGCTGGATTGTGTGAGGAGCTCACAAATCCTTGAAAGATCTGGACAAAGTCCCATCGGTGAGCTCCTCCGGCAGGCAAGGCTGCGATGGCTGGGCCATGTAGCCCGCATGCCCAGCCACCGCATGCCGAAACAGCTTTTGTTCGGCCGGATCGAGGGGGCTAAACGGGCGCGGCACGGGCTAGAGAAGAGATGGAGTGACGTGGTACAGGAGGACATGGAGCTGAGTGGACTTGCCGATGACCGGTACCAGCGGTGTCAAGATCGGCCTCTGTGGAGGAGGCTCGTGAAGGACGCTGCTGGGCAGTTGGAGGCAGTCGCCCTCCAACAACAACGGAGGGCGGAGGAGCGACGCTCACAACAACGAGCGGAGCGCCGGGTGGCTAAAGCACAGCAGGTTGGCACAGTAGGGGGCACAGGTGTTGCATCAGCCACAGTCATCTCAGTCATCTCAGTCAGTCGACCCGTGGCACCTGGGTCTGCCCCGTGACCTCCTGCCAGCGGGCGTTCGACACTTCACGTGGCCTCAAGGTGCACATGGCCTGGCACAAGCGTCGTGGTGACGTCACCGCAACTTAGTGGCGAATGGCGGTTGTTGTTGTTGTGTGTGTGTGGGTGAGTGTGTGGGTGTGTGGCTGAGTGTGTGGATGAGCGAGGGGGTGTGAGTGAGAGTGAGTGTGTGGGTGAGTGTGTGGATGAGTGTGTGGGTGAGTGTGTGGGTGAGTGTGTGGGTGAATGTTTCAGGCGATGAATAATTTAGAGAGAGGGGGAGGGAGAGAGGGGGAGAGAGAGATAGTAAGAGAGATAGTATGAGGGATAGTAAGAGAGATAGAGAGAGAGAGGCCTACTGGTGTTTGCGGTATGTCCCTGAGGCATCCACCCTGAACCCTGTGACGTTGAGATAGCCCTCGGCCTTCTCCGCCTGGAGGACACATAACGATGTCTCATCATCATCATCATCACCACCATCATCATCATCACCATCATCATCACCATCATCACCACCATCATCACCATCATCATCATCACCACCACCATCATCAACATCATCATCACCATCATCATCACCATCATCATCATCACCATCATCACCGGCATCACCACCATCATCATCATCACCACCATCATCAACATCATCATCATCACCACCATTATCAACATCATCATCACCATCATCATCATCACCACCATCATCAACATCATCATCACCATCATCATCACCATCATCACCACCATCATCACCATCATCACCACCATCACCACCACCATCATCATCACCATCATCACCATCATCACCACCATCATCACCATCACCACCATCATCATCACCATCATCACCATCATCACCATCATCACCATCACTGGGTGTTGGGTGTGTGTGTGTGGTGTGTGTGTGTGGTGTGTGTGTGTGTGGTGTGTGTGTGTGTGGTGTGTGTGTGGGGTGTGTGTGTGTGGGTGGGTGTGTGTGTGGTGTGTGTGTGTGTGGTGTGTGTCTAGTGTGTGGTGTGTGTGTGTGGTGTGTGTGGTGTGTGTGTGTGTGGTGTGTGTCTAGTGTGTGGTGTGTGTGTGTGGTGTGTGTGTGGTGTGTGTGTGTGTGGTGTGTGTAGTGTGTGTATTGTGTGTGTGTGGTGTGTGTGGTGTGTGTGTGTGGTGTGTGTGTAGTGTGTGGTGTGTAGTGTGTGTGATGTCTGTGTGGTGTGTGTTGTGTGTGTGGTGTGTGTGGTGTGTGTGTGGTGTGTGTGTGGTGTGTGTGTATGTGGTGTGTGTGTGTGGTGAGTGTGTGTGTGGTGTGTGTGTTGTGTGTGGTGTGTGTGTGTGTGTGGTGTGTGTGGTGTGTGTGTAGTGTGTGGTGTGTGTGTGGTGTGTGTGTGTGGTGTGTGTGTTTGGTGTGTGTGTGTGGTGTGTGTATGTGGTGTGTGTGTGTAGTGTGTGGTGTGTGTATGGTGTGTGTGTATGGTGTGTGTGTGTGTGGTGTGTGTGTGGTGTGTGTGTAGTGTGTGTGGTGTGTGGTGTGTGTGTGTGGTGTGTGTGTGGTGTGTGTGTGTGGTGTGTGTGTGTATGGTGTGTGTGTATGTGGGGTGTGTTGTGTGTGTGGTGCGTGTGTAATGTATGTGGTGTGTGTGGTGTGTGTGTAATGTGTGTGTGTCTTTGTGTGTGTGTCTCTGTGTGTGTGTCACTGTGTGTGTGTGTCACTGTGGGGAGCGGTAGTGTAGCGGTTAGCGCTACGCTGTGCTATGAACCTGGCGACCCGGGTTCGATTCCCGCTCACGGCCAACACCAGTGACGATTATCTGAACCGGTCCCGGGTCTCCCCTAGGTCGACTCAGCCTCAAATGAGTACCTGGTGCGGTGTGTAGTAAACATCGCCACTGGGGAGACAAAGGCGGTCGGGCGTGGTGCTGGCCACCCACCCCCTCGTGTACCGTTCCGGCCTTCATAGGTGCTCGCTAACAGCACTTGCCCCTACAGTCTGTTAAGGCTATATGGGGGATCTTTGTTATCTTTGTTATCTTTGTGTGTTGTGTGTGTGGTATGTGTGTAATGTATGTGGTGTGTGTGTGTGTGTAGTGTGTGTGTCTCTGTGTGTGTGTGGTGTGTGTGTGTGTGGTGTGTGTGTAATGTGTGTGGTGTGTGTGTGTGTAGTGTGTGTATGTGGTGTGTGTGTGTGTGGTGTGTGTGTCTCTGTGTGTGTGTGGTGTGTGTGATGTCTGTATGGTGTGTATGGTGTGTGTGTAATGTGTGGTGTGTGTATGTGGTGTGTGTGTGTAATATGTGTGGTGTGTGTGTGTGTGTGGTGTGTGTGTGTGTGGTGTGTGTGTGTGGTGTGTGTGGTGTGTGTATGTATGGTGTGTGTGTGTGTGTGTATGGTGTGTGTATGGTGTATGTGTGTGTGTGGTGTGTGTGTGTGTATGGTGTGTAATGTATGGTGTGTGTGTGTATGGTGTGTAATGTATGGTGTATGTATGGTGTGTAGTGTATGGTGTGTAATGTATGTAATGTGTGTGTGGTGTGTGTATGTATGGTGTGTAGTGTATGTGGTGTGTGTGTATGGTGTGTGTGTATGTGTGTGTGTGTAGTGTATGGTGTGTAATGTATGTAATGTATGTGTGGTGTGTAGTGTATGGTGTGTGGTGTATGTAATGTATGTGTGTGTGTAGTGTATGGTGTGTGTGGTGTGTGTATGGTGTGTGTGTGGTGTGTGTATGGTGTGTGTATGTATGGTGTGTATGGTGTATGTATGGTGTGTATGTGTTGTGTAATGTGTGTGGTGTATGTATGGTGTGTGTGTGTGGTGTGTAGTGTATGTGGTGTGTGTATGTGGTGTGTGTGTATGTATGGTGTGTGTATGGTGTGTATGTGGTGTGTAATGTGTGTGGTGTGTAGTGTGTATGGTGTATGTATGGTGTGTGTATGTGGTGTGTGTATATATGGTGTATGTGTGGTGTGTATGTATGGTGTATGTAATGTGTGTGTGGTGTGTGTGTGTGTGTGGTGTGTGTGTGTATGTGTGTATGGTGTGGTGTGTGTGTAGTGTATGGTGTATGTAATGTATGTGGTGTGTAGTGTGTGTGTAATGTATGTATGGTGTATGTGTGTGTGTGGTGTGTGTGTGTATGGTGTGTGTGTGGTGTGTAGTGTGTGTGGTGTGTGTGTATGTGTGTATGGTGTGGTGTGTGTGTAGTGTATGGTGTATGTAATGTATGTGTGTGGTGTGTAGTGTGTGGTGTGTAATGTATGTAATGTGTTTGGTGTGTAGTGTGTGTGTAATGTATGTAATGTAATGTGTGTGGTGTGTAGTGTGTGTGTGGTGTATGTAATGTGTGTGGTGTGTAGTGTGTGTGGTGTATGTGTGGTGTGTGTGGTGTGTGTGTATGGTGTGTGTATGTATTGTGTGTGGTGTATGGTGTGTATGTGGTGTGTGTGGTGTGTGTATGTGGTGTGTGGTGTGTGTGGTGTGTATGTGTGTGTGGTGTATGGTGTATGTATGGTGTGTAGTGTATGGTGTGTAATGTATGTAATGTGTGTGTGGTGTGTGTGTGGTGTGTATGTATGGTGTGTGTATGGTGTGTGTATGTATGGTGTGTATGGTGTGTGTGGTGTGTGTGGTGTGTATGTATGGTGTGTATGGTGTGTGTGGTGTGTGTGGTGTGTATGTATGGTGTATGTATGGTGTGTGTGTGGTGTGTGTGTGTGTGTGTAATGTATGGTGTATGTATGGTGTGTAGTGTATGGTGTGTAATGTATGTAATGTATGTATGGTGTGTGTGTAGTGTATGGTGTATGTAATGTATGTATGGTGTATGTGTGGTGTGTAGTGTATGGTGTATGTAATGTGTGTGTGGTGTGTGTGTGTATGTGTGTATGGTGTGGTGTGTGTGTAGTGTATGGTGTATGTAATGTATGTGTGTGGTGTGTAGTGTGTGGTGTGTAATGTATGTAATGTGTGTGGTGTGTAGTGTGTGTGTAATGTATGTAATGTAATGTGTGTGGTGTGTAGTGTGTGTGG